CCAACTTATTTGGCTGCTTCTTGCTCCTCATGGCCTGACTGAGGGCTGCTGGGAGCAGGGGCAGGGCTTGTTGCATGTGCCCGCCCCCTGCGCAACTTACTGCCGGAACTCCGCTCCTGTGCGCTCTCGCAGGAAATGACCCCTGGTGTTCAATATGGCAAGAGATGTCATCATTACTTTATGTGTTTGGTGCAGGAATACTATAATACTGGTGTATCTATACAATAATAATGTTTGCCATGTGCAAAGTGAAGAAGCCCTTACAGATAATATGGGACCAGGTGCCATTTGTCTGTATTGAAACATGTCTTTTACTGAGTGAAATTGGTGGTAGTGAAACTTTTCTGAACTAGGTTTTGATAGAAGAGCATTTGTGGAAAACTAAATGATGCAGGGGTTGACATCTACCTATTGCCAGTATCCTAATCTAAATATTGAAAGGGTAGGTATGAAAACTGATGTGTGTCATCTCTTCCCACCACCACCAACTGTATCTAAAAGGTTACCCTCCAGATTCCACACTGGTCCGGGTTGAACCAGGTTCCTTGTTTTGATTTTTTTTAAAAAACAAAGCAAGTGTTGAAAAATCACTGTGCAATGAAACTCAAGAAAGAACTCTCCAACAGATGAGTCTGTCTCTTAGATAATTACAGCATTATGTGGAATCTCTTGATTTGTTTTTAAAAACAAAGCAAGGGTTGAAAAATAAGAACGAACTCTCCAACTGGTGAGTCTGTCTCTTAGATAATTACAGCATTATGTGGAATGAATTCTTTGTTCTGGAGCAAAAACTAACAGCCAAGTAATAATAGGGCCATACATGGCTAGACAGTAACTCTCCAGTTTGTAAGAGATTGCCTCAGTTCCTTGGACTATTGGAATTACCCTACAGCTCTAACAGTACCTAGTGGGTGAAGTAAAAAATGGTAGGTAGATACCATACGTTGTACTAGCTAGGGGAAGGTGGGGAAGGAAGCTTCTTTTGCAGCACTCTTGCTCTATGCTTGTGAGGCTTGTAGTCTAATCTGCGGGAGATGCTTGGCATTCTGGATAAAGTCAACATGTGTTGGGGCATCAGGATTTTACCTTCTTGTTCCAGTCTTTCTTTCTTTGCTGTACCATATGTGTAGTGTTGTATGCATGCACACCCAATGAACACTATTGGGATAAGGCTGGCATACTTCATGGCTAACAGGACCATCAGTGTTTATTAGCCATTCTGGCTAAATGGAATCTTCATGTTCAGAGGCAGCAGTATATCTCTGAAAACCAGCTGCTTGGGGATAACAACAGGGAGAGGTTTTGACCTCTGCGATTCCATCTGTGGGCCTTCCAGAACATCTGCTTGGCCACTGTGGGAAACAAATTGTTGGACTAGATGATCCAGCAGGCTTTTTAGGGGTTTTTTTTTACTATTGGCCATATATGTAGATATTCTAGATTATGGGAAATATATGGAGGAAAGGGTAAGACGGTACAGGCCTACTGCCCTAATAGATAGAGACTTTGCCCAGTTTGTCAAACATGCACACCTTTGTATTTTGACAAAGTTTGGTGTAGTGGTTAAGTGCGCAGACTCTAATCTGGGAGAACCGGGTTTGATTCCCCACTCCTCCACTTGCACCTGGCTGGATGACCTTGGGCAAGCCGTAGTTCTGATAAGAGCTGCACTTGAAAAAAAGAGCAGTTTCTGTCAAGAGCTCTCTCAGCCCCACCTACCTTGCAGGGTGTCTGTTGTGGGGAGGGGAAGGGAAAGGAGTTTGTAAACCACTCTGAGACACCTTTGAGTAGTGAAGGGCGGGGCATAAATCCAATCTCCTCTTCTTCTTCTTTTACAGTATCATTATCTTACCGTGCACTTGTGTGGCTTTTCTCCAGTGTGCCTTCGCATATGTACGACTAGCATGTACTGAGCTTTGAATGGCTTCTGCTCCCGTGTACAGTCTTGCCAGCGACAGACAAACTCTTTCTTCTCCCCATGAATGTGATCATTATTGATGTGCTGGAAGATGAGAAGAGAAGTCAGGTTTTCTAAAAACAAAGCCAGCAATGCTTGCATCACTGTCTCCAGCAAGACTCTCAGAACCTGTAGTACTAGGAAAGGACATTAAGAAGTAACACCGCATCCCTCCAGAGGCTGCAGGTCTTCCTGGATTGCAAAGAGTGATGCATGTTTTTTAAGAGAAACCAAGAGATCTGGAACAGGTATTATAGTACAGCACCCCTCTGAAAATCTCAAGTAGAAATTTTAAATCTTATGTATTTCGGAGATTTCTGTGCCTCTTCATTAGAGTCCTGCTTGAGGTGGCTTACAGTGACAGGTTTCTTTTCAAATGACAAGAGTGTCTCCTAACCTCCTAGCCAGTTTGGTGTAGTGGTTAAGTGTGCGGACTCTAATCTGGGAGAACCGGGTTTGATTCTCCACTCCTCCACTTGCACCTGGCTGGATGACCTTGGGCCAACCGTAGTTCTGATAAGAGCTGTCCTTGAAAAAGAGCAGTTTCTGTCAGAGCTCTCTCAGCCCCACCTACCTCACAGGGTGCCTGTTGTGGGGAGGGGAAGGGAAAGGAGTTTGTAAGCCGCTCTGAGACAGCTTTGGGTAGTGAAGGGCAGGGTATAAATCCAATCTCCTCCTCCTCCTCCTCCTCTTCTTCTTGTCCAGGCCTTGCTCAGAAACTGCTTAGTGATGTATGAAATCTTTGAATGCCAGTGGCTGAATGGCAACAACAGAGGAAGGCTTTCTGTATCCTACTTGAAGGCCTTTTAAGTGCATTTGGTGGGCTGATGTGTAGAACAGATGCTGGACTAGATGGATCATTAGTTTGATCCAGCATGGCTGTTCTTTCTTCTTCTATTTTTATGACAACCCACATGGTCAGAGTAGACAGAGTAGATTTGGGAGATACGGATAACCTATTTATTATACTTCTACCACACTTGTCCTCAGATGATTTCAGTATAGATCCCAGACACTCTCATACTCAGGAAAGTTGGAGGGACAACTTCCTTCAGCATTAGAACAGCATTACATGCTTTCAAACCATATTCTGCAACCCCGTACCCAGAAAAAAAATTGTTAGGGGGCCCCCAAGGGGGCAGTTTAGTACAGTGGAGCTGACTACATCACAGGGTTGTTGTTGTTAGGGAAATATAGAGGAGAGACGTGGCTATGTAAGAGCTGACAGGTAAAAACGCGGGGGAGTCTGGCAAGTATTGCTGAAGGAGCTGGGAGAGCCCCTTGAGACTTTACAGACACAACCTGTTTCCATTGGCTAGCCAGCAGCAGCAGCAGCAGGAAGACAATAACCCCTTAACCCCTGGTGCCAATGGGCTATTCTCCTTGCGTCCCCTTCCTACACCCCCTCCCCACCTTTCCAGGCAATCTGAGAAGAGAGCAAAGGCAGGAACTTTTTTCCTGAACCTCCCAAAGCAGATCAGGCGTTACAATCACACCGACAGCAAGCCAAGCACGGTGATATGTACTTCCCCTCACCCTGCAAGCCAAACAGACACTTCACAGAGAGGGGGAAGGGGGGGAGGCGCAGGTGTTTGGGGAGGGTGCTGGGCACTCATAGGCACCCCATGCGTACAGGCCTGATATTCTAGTTCTTGGAGATGTGTAGGAATGCCCCCTCCCAAAGCAGCTCAGGCGTTACAATCGCACCGACAGCAAGCCAAGCACGGGTGATACGTGCTTCCCCTCGCCCTGCAAGCCAAACAGACACTTCACAGAGAGGGGGAAGGGGGGGAGGCGCAGGTGTTTGGGGAGGGTGCTTGGCACTCATAGGCACCCCATGCGTACAGGCCTGATATTCTAGTTCTTGGAGATGTGTAGGAATGCCCGCCACCCAGGAATCCACTCTAGTATTTCAGTCATTGTGATCACACTTGGGTTGTGTTCAGACTGGCAATTTGACCCAATATAGGCACATTTGACAAATGGAGTAAATCGGCCTGATCACACAGCCACATCTGTCAGGCGTTCCCCGGACATGCTCACCCCGTCAGAGGACAACTTGGAGCCGGGTTAAAAAGCCACCACCTCCGAAGTGGTGTTTTGTTTCCCCACGCATTCATTGCGCATGGACGGATGTCCGAACACGGGGGAGCGCACGCAGAATGAATTTGGCAGTCAGAACCTGCAGATCCATTCTGCCATAAATGGAGTAAATTGGCCTGATCACACAGCCACATCTGTCACGCATTCCCTGGGCGTGCTCACCCCGTCAGAGGACAACTTGGAGCCGGGTTAAAAAGCCACCACCTCCGAAGTGGTGTTTTGGTTTCCCCTGTGGCTGATATATCCCACTACACTTTAACCCGGTTCAATTAGAGGTGGCACCATATCATGCCAAGCCGCCAGTGTGATCACAGCCACTGTGTGATCAGACACCACCGCAGGTGAGTTAGGGATTTTTTTGCCTTTTGTTTCCCATGCGCATAAATGAGGAATTGCACCTCTGCACTGAAGGTTCCCCATGGAGTATGCAGTTATGCCCATACTGCTCAGCGAGGGGAAAAAAGGCACTAACTCCCGATCAGCGTTCCCTCTAAGCTGAGTTAGAGTGATCTAGCTCACAGTTTTTTAGCCTCCGGCTCACAGATTTTTGTCTTCGCTCAGGAAGGAGGGCTCCAGAGCAAACTAATTTACGCAGCAGCCAAATCGCTGGCTCACAACTTTAATGCCAGGAGCTCACAAAGTAGAATTTTTGCTCACAAGACTCCACAGCTTAGAGGGAACATTGCTCCCGATGGCATGAGAGTGTGCTTGAGCGATCAGACAGGGGAAAGTCCATCCGTGGCTAGCCGTGGCTCGTCGGATCCAGTTAGACTCTCCCTGGTGTCTTTTACCTCCGCTGTGGCGGAGCAGCACGGGTTGACGACAGCTGCAGGACCTTTCCCAGATGTTGCTGTCTGATCATGCCCTTTAGCTCTATAAGGCATTCACAGCTATGACAGATCTAAAGGCGCATATGACCGCAGCCTAAATCAAACTTATTGGAGATACATTTAGGTCTCCACTTGTTCATGATCTTGTGTAACCAATTTCTGGCCACTATAATATATAGCAAGGGAAGTACTACGTGTTGCACAAGATCTTGTGCAAGCAGAAGTGCCCTAAGGCTGTTTATGTTTCTGCTTGCTCATGGCTGGAACCAAACCAAAGTCTTTAATTTTGTTCAAAAGCAGTTGCAAGGGGGGGGGGGACGTAAATCAGGATTTTGTTGCTGGGACATGTTTTTTTTTTTAATTTTTTTTTTAACTGTTCCTCTCAGTGCTGTTTCTCAGACAAAACTTCCCCTTTCCCCCAATTGGCTATTAGCCTTGGTAGTGGAAAAAAGACACACAACCTGTCTTTCCCCCCTACAGGGAGAAATAGCGGCTGGGGGTGGGTGGTGGAAGGGCACTTTCTATCTGGGTAATAGCACAGACAGAAAGGGTTTATCCCTCTGCTCTCGTGCCGCATTCCTGATTTACTCACAACTGCTTCTGCAAAAATACCAGGTGCCATCAGGAGGTCCAGCAGTGGGGCCAGGACACTAGAAGCCCTCCCACTGTTGCCCGTCCCAAGAATACAGAGCATCACTTGCCCCAGCCCGAGCGTTGCTATCTATACCTTGTGGCTAATAGCCACAGATGGACCTCTGCTCCATATGCTTATCTAATTCCCTCTTGAAGCTGTCCATCCTTGTAGCCACCACCACCTCCTGTGGCAGTGAATTCCAAGTGTTAATCACTCTTTGGGTGAAGAAGTACTTCCTTTTATCTGCTCTAACCTGACTGCTCAGCAATTTCATTGAGTGCCCTTGAGTTCTTGTATTGTGAGAAAGGGAGAAAAGTACTTCTTTC